TCTAAGAGTAGGACATGGTTTCTCTTTCTGCAGTTGCTGCTGGTGAAATTAAGCAAAGGATCATTTAGGGTAAATGACTGCAATTTCCAGCTTCCGTTTCAGTGTGCAGATGGACAAGGCTTCTGGTTTATCCTTAACTGAGTTATTGACACGAGGAATGGGTCTGTTAAGTAAGAATTAAGCATGCTCCCTACCTTCAAGGGAGTCTGTGATAGATTCCCCTACTTATAATTTCATTCACTGCAATGTTCTATTCAATCCTTTTCCCTGCATCTCAATTGAGATTTTGATGACTCATAAAATTAATCCTCTCTGAGCAGCAAATCTCTTCCATTCCAAGCTTTAATGTGAGGAACTCTTTGCTGGAGCCGCATGCCCTCAGTGCTCCTCGGGCACAGCGCGGGTGGACGTGTGCTTGTCCTCTGAGCTGTCTAGTGGGATGGAAGAAAAGGGTGAGGAATGGGTCACTGTCACCAAGGGTGGCCCTGTGAGCTCCTGAGCATCCCCTGGAGCTTCAGTCTCAATTCCCTCTCAGCCAATGGGTGCTGAAGAAACACTGGAACAACCCCAATTTCATCACTTGAAGAAGCAACCACTTAAAGCCACTCTGAACGTGAGATTAAAAACATGAGATATGTACAGCTAAAAATCTGTGTGTTTTTAACAGAGCTGAGAAGTTTGCAGGCCAAGGTTGCTGACATCCATTGCACTGCAAGACTGAGAAAGGAGGATTAGTCTCCAAATCCAAATTTTTTAAGTTAATTTTAATTTCTCTCTGTGGAATTCAATGACAGCTACATCTAAGAAATCTTCAGGAATAACTGCACAAACAGCTTCTGAGCCCCATGAATGTCTGAAGCAATTTCCAAGGAGGTTATTTTGGCCTTTTTTTAAGGCAGCATCAGCTTCTCTAGGTAGAAGCAGCCTGAACATGAAAGCATTCTGACCTTTTGCAAACAAGCAGGCAAGAAGGGAGAAACAAATTCTCATTAAAAATAATATATCATTTTTGAAAGTGGTAATTAGGTGAGTTAGCAGCAGTCACTTGTGTTGATCGTTCAGAGGCAAGTGCTTTGTTACTGGATGGGAATGATTACTGTCATATGCTGGGGATGGACTTTCTTGGTGGGTTTTGTTGTTTGCTTTAAATCAGTTCTCAGTTTTGAAGGTTTTTCAAGTGTTATGCAAGCAAAGGGGTTTATAACATTATTCATTATATAGATAGCTGTGTAATAGGAAGAGTTTTGTTTTAGATACAGGCACATCCACACATTTGATTTAATTAGGATTTACTTTGGCAAAGTTTTAGAGCCAAGTACCAACTTGTGTTTATTTTTAAACATGTTTTCTTCCTTTAATTCATTGTCTTCCATCCTTCTATAAAACAATTCATTGTTTCTTTGAGAATATCTGTTTCTAAAAAGCCCCCGGAGATTGACTATCATTTTATTATCACTTTAGTATCAGAGTCATTTTGTTCCTTCTGTGGAACTACCTTTGAGCCAAGTAAACTGGCGCAGACTTGGACTCCTTTGCAAAGACCTTTTTGAAAAATTGGCTTTTTTTCTAAAAGCAGTTACTTTTAGACAGGTCCTGAAACAGGTTCAGGAATACCCCCAAGCACCTTTGCCCAGCAAGAACAGGTTTTCCAGTCCTTCGCATCCTGATGTCCCTGCTGTTGTTCCTCCACATGCCTGCCATAGATAGGTTTACCAAAGCTTGTCCCAAAAATCATCTCTCATGTGACTATCTGAGGTTGGTTTCTTTCAGCTAAAACTTCCTCCTCATTCTAACAAACCTCTCCTCGAGTAGTGTCTAGTGTAGCTTGTGGTATGGTGCTCACCATCAGTAATTCTCCAGCCAGAGAAATGTTGCTTTGCTGTGAACCTTGCTGGTGGATGGTCATTCACTCAGATTTGAGACATCTGTTTCACTGATGTCCTGAACTGGTTGTAAAAATACCCGTCTAAATAGCACCACGTTTCCTAGTAAACTACTTGCTTCAAAGGCACTATAGCTCATCTCTCTCCTGAGGTGGCGTTTTGTCTGTCTCTTGCTCTTCCATTTGAGGCGTTGAGGCTGTTAGAAAGCCCCAAAAAGTTCTTGTGGTTGATTGGCTTTGAGTTAAATCTCTGCTGCACCTGTGCCTGAAATATGGGAAATTAGACCTAGGGATGCTGATAGGCCCTTCCACTGCTTTGGCTCTGAAAAATGGGGCTAACGCCTCTTCTGCCTCTTGAACTAGCTGAGCTGCTCTTTCCTTGTGCTCCTGAAGCACAGCACGCAGTGTAGGTAACTGATACAGTAGCCAAAGTCTAGAGGCAGTAATGTTTCATTGACTAACCCAAAATAGTAAAGCATATGCAAAGAGAAATAAACAAAACCACAATCTGCTCTTATAAAAATATGTTTAAATAGTATGTGCACAACAGACTGGTTTCCCCTCTGGGTGTTTCCAATATTTCCAATGTTTCTGAGGGTTTGAATGGGTAACAGCTCTGAAATGTGACATGTTCAGCCCTGAAAAGCTCAGAGCTGTAGTAATTACTCTTTTCTCTAAGTAGGATTGTATTGGCATTGGATTATACTTCAGAATATTTTTAAATGGCAGTAGGTACAATGAAAGCTTCAGCTGTTTATTTTTAGGGGAGGTGAAATCTTAAAGGAGGCTATAAGAGAAGTGATGTTGGTACTTGAGGTGTCAGTGTAGCAGCAGGTGGTTGATAACCTCTGCATAAAGTCAAACAGTTTTGGACAATCCTTTTTCCTTTGGGTTTACATGACATTATGCCAGGGCAATAGAAGTAATTAGAATTAACCTCTGAAATATCCCTGCAATAATACTGTTTGCAATACCAGTGAGGTTCTGGGTAACTTTGTGTTTACAGTCCTAGGTACCACAGTAAGTGGTGATTAATTGGGGAGAGGTGGTGGTGCAGGAGGGAAAAGGAGAAGAAAGGGGAAAGAAATAAAGTCTGATGCTTAAGGTACATGTTTGGTTATGACTAAATTACAATACTATTTTTTTAATAAGTATGCAAAATGTATGTGCTGCATGGAGGGAAAGGAAAGCTAATTCCAGCAGCTCTAACTAGGGATGATGCATTAATGTTAAGAAAAGAAGCATCTACACTGAGCAACAGGAAGAATTGCTTGACAGTGAACTATATTTCCATAAATTAATTTCTCATGGGAAACCATAAAAACTCCATTACTTGAGCTTCTGAGAATGAGCTGAGGCCACGCATGCTGCCCTGTGCTGAGCACGCTTCTGACTTCTGCAGCCCCTTCCCTTGTCACTGCTGCCTGGGGAGGATTTTGGCAATATTTGTTTCATTGGGAAATAGTGATCTGCCAAAGGCAGAGCACTGCTGTTGTTTGTTGTTGTTGTTGTTGTTTTAAAAAAAAAAAAAAAAAGGCACCCAAGTCCTGCATGCGACTTGGTGAGAAAAATCTCAGTGCAGAAATTCTGTGTTTAGATCTTATGCTGGTAATATGTAATTCAACCTTTGGTCTCACTTGGAGTAGCAGCCTTAATTCAGGATTTTCTGTTAACACCATGAGGAAAAAAATAATTCTGAATTATTTAGATGCCACTTAAAATGTTCCTTTTCCCCATTAAACTGAAGCCTACAGTGTCTAGGCATTAAGGGTGGTATAGAAGTTTGCTCTCGGCCTTTGATGAAGCTCTTTCATTTCTCGTCTCTTAAAACCCACTAATTCTGCAGTTGCTGATAGAAGTTTATCATTTCAATAAATGCTATTCCTAACATAGCAGAGCGTATGCTGCGGTGGGAAATTTTCCTCTTGGAAAATTATGATTAATGCAGCCAGAGCCTCCTCCCATTAGGATATCTCGGAAGTGTTTGTGTGCGGAGTATCCCTTGGCTGCTGATGGGACACAAATGGGGATCCTACAGAACTATGGCTGTCCACGTTAGCCATGGGCTGTGATTTCACAACTCTCAGCTCTTGCTTAGTTGCATCGAGATAGTGAAAGACAGGCTCTGCATTCTACTTGGTTCCAGGCAACACCTTGCACGTGCAATGCCACAGCTAAGATGCTGGCAGAGGTTTGCTCTGTGGCAGGAAGGAGGCATTGTAATGCCCCAGTCCCCTGCTGTGTTACAACCCTGGCTATTGTCCCTTTGTTGGGCTGTATCCTGGTTTTCTGCTAGTAGTGCTTCTGGTAACACAGAATAATAGGCAAACAGCATGAAAAGGAAAATAGCTTCCAATACAAAATTCAGTATGTTGAAAAATGTCTAATTTACAACCTTTTTTTTTACACGCATTCTGACAGCTTTAAGGAGCTACTGTCTATTTCCAAAGGAGCTGTTGCCTTTCAGTGACTTTGAGCATCCACCCCATAGATGAGGTGATTTAGGATCACTGACTTGGTCATATGGTAAACCATGGTGCCCAGCTGGGGTTAGCAACCCACAGCCAGGCTATGCGGTGTGTGGGACTGATGTGCAGAGAGGCCAGAGATGGACACCAGATACAAACCAGAGCTGCTCACTTTTTCAGGTGCTTCCTCCCCTCAAAGAGAAAAAATGAGTTTCATTAATGAAGAAAACAAGAACAAGTGTGTGATGAAGAAGGAAGGCAGTGGTGTGGCTTGTGGGCTCTCCCAAGATCCTGCTTGCCTACCTTGGGCTTTTCCCTCCTGGTCTTTCTCTTAAAGGCAGAACAAAGAATACATGAAAAGATGGATTAAAAAATTCCTATTTCTGTGCCCTTTTCTCATTTTGTAAGTTGACGCTCCTGTCAAGGTAAAGAGAGGGAATGAATATGAAGAACTCACTTTTCCATAGCAGAGATGTGATTCTTATTTCCTATTCCACTACTGTCTAGTGCAGCATGAAGCTGCTTGGGGTGTTAATGTGCTTTGAAATGCTCCCAAAAGCCTGGGTGACCAAAGAGGACAGGGAGGGAGCTTCAGTTATACCTGGTGGAAATTGCAATCATTTGAGTCTTATTTTTTTTTCCCTGTCAAGATAATTGCAAGGCACTGACTCATTGAGGAGCTGTGAGGAGATGGGATGGAAATCCATAGCTGAGACTTCTTAGACCTGCCCTGGTCTCTACCTCTGGAACTCTGGACTGCCAGCAGGGGCCCAGGCCAGCAGCAGCCTGCAGGATATTGTAGTGGATTTTGCTGAGATCTTTGCAGCTTCCACCAAGAAGTTCAGTAACATCATCCATCCTGAACCTTGCAGGGCACCCAACTCATCATCCTGCTCTGCAGGGCATGCAGGCTGAGCTGGCTGGGGCTTGAGGAACGTAAGTTTTTTCCTTCCCTTCATATTTCCTTTCTGATGTCTTGTGGGAGAGCAAGAGGTGACCAGGTGTGCAAGGAGGGGATGTGTCCCTTCCATCCCAGCTCAAGTGACACAAATGCCAGGGAGGAAGGAGCAAAACCAGACCAGAGTCCAGGAAAGCATCTGCTGCTGGAGGAAACCTGGTTGAAGGCAATGCCAGGGTGGTTGCCAGGCAAAGGAGGATGGTAGGGTGCTCATGGGGAAGACATGGACAGAACAGATGGTGGCAAGCTGAGAGCAGGAAGTATGGAGGAGGGAAAGCACCATATGGTAAATGTGGGTGAGCAGAGAAAGAAGTGTCATTGTTTTCAGTTCTTCATAGCTGCCCAGAAGCTAAATATTTGCAGCATGAGTTGTGTTTCTTAGGACTGGATTGTGTTGTGGCAAGTTCTATTCCACCTTATACCCCTGCTTCCTAGAGTCATGTGAATATGTGGGTGTTTCAGGCAATCATATTCAGTGAACTTCTAGTGATCTGCTGCAAAATTAGTAGCAGATTTACTCTCTTGTATTTACTAGAGAGCTGAGTGATCTCCAGCTAGATGTTTTCTGGATGGGAAGTCCTGCCTGTAGGAGTTTGGAGTATTGAGTTTTTGGATCACCAAAGAGAAAACTTCTCAAGTTTCCAAATAGCCAAAGTATCACATGGCATGCTCTGGAGGAAGGGGAGGGCAGATGGATTTTCAGTTTGTCCTCTTTTGGGTTTCTGCTCTCTGAAAGGGAAATGCAAATGTCTGGATGAGAAGATGACAGTGGAAAGGATGAGAAACTGTAGTGTGAACCAGTTTCCTGGAGTGAGATGATCACATCCTGCCTGTTGCAGCAAGTAGCCTGCAAGGAGAGGAGGACAAAAAACAAGCACACCTGTAGGAATCTGAACCAGAACTCACATGGGAGAAAGCTGTTACTGCACGCACACGGACAACAGGCTGCATGCGGTGCAAAATCCGGGGCTCCCAGTAACTCGGAGACAAATGTTGTTCCCAGGATTAAATGTAACTTGAGTCCTCTTTCCTTTGTTCTTGGACTGTCTCAAAGCAGCCCTGCCTGTGGTGAGAGCTCTGACTGCTCAGTGCTCTGGTGTCTGGGATAAACCTCCTTTGGTGCTCAGTGGTCACTGAACTGCCCTGGGGAAGTGGGGGCTGAGTGGCTCAGAGGTCTTTCAGCTTGTGCTGCTATGTTTTTGCTTAGATCATGATTCAAGCATTAATCTGTCCCAGGAGTCTGCAACCATCTTAGATTTACCCTGTTTTCCATTGCTCAGAACAGCTCTTGTTTGGGATGAAGCTAAAACAAGGATTTGTGCAGCAGTTGGCCCTGGATGGGTCTGGTACACTTGAAGCATTGCTGCTGGGCTGAGCAGCCACAGGGATGAGGCAGCTTTGAACTGCATTTGGCTTCCAGTTTCCACTGAAGGACTGATTGATATGTGGATTAGAGAGATTACCCTGGTCTGCCTCCTCTGATCTGAGGCTTTCTAAAATTCAGTGGAGAGAGGAAAGAACTCCCACCCCCAAGAGTCTTTTTAAAGAAATGCTAAATCACTTAGCACTGAGTAATGGCTTGATTTAAGCACAGGTTAATTACAGGACTTCATCTTTCTTGTAGATTTGCATGGTATCTTTTACAATGAGATCTTAGTCTATGATGGGGCTCCAGTAGGCTATAAAAAAAAATGCCACCACCTGTGGCTGTTAAAAACAAGACTGATTGTGCTGGAAGCAATGCTTCTAACTTCAAGAGTTGCTGCTAAGGTATCCTCCAACAAGGAAACTTTACAAACTTTAGTACAAGGAAAAGCTTGTGTCATGTATTCTGCCAAGCAGGCTAGTAACAGCTGCAGAATATTTTTTCCCCAATTCCACTGCAACATTTTGTAGAGCTTCAAACATGGATGCATCACCAAGCAATCCCATGTGCTGACTCTGTTCCTGCAAAATGTTCTACAGCAACCATGTATCTACAAAGTAAAGACTAAACCATGTTTTTATTGCATATTGCCAACTCATCTCAGTTTAAGGGGAACAGACCATTAGGTAGATGCTGGTATGCTGATTTCTAAGATAATTGCAAAATTATTAGTGTTTGTTTTCCTCACTGCTGCACTTCTTAGAGCTATGCTATTACTGTCTATACACAGCAATATTTTTCCCTAAAATGTTTGTTCCAAAATCCTTGCCCTAGCTTGGGGTGGCTAACACAAACTGTGTGCACACCATGGTGTGAAGGCTAGCTTCACAAATGGGCAGTGAGTGCTGGGATTTGTGCAGGTAAAGTAAAGATAATTTATGGACATGGTGAGCATCCTGGGGGGTGTTCCAACTTTTCTAGAAAAACTCACTTATGGGCTATAGATTAAAGATTGTCCTTAGAACAATCTTAGAAATGCCTGTATGCTTCCAGTTCTTCTGGGGGTTGTGGTTGATAGCAAGCTGAATATGAGCCAGCCAGTGTGTCCTGGCAGCCAGGAGGGCCAACTGTATCCTGGGGTGCATCAAGCATGGCTTCACTAGTCAGTCGAGGGAAGTGATTTTCCTGTTCTACTCTGCACTGGTGCAGCTTTACCTCAAGCATTGTGTGCAGTTCTGGGCACCACAGTACAAAATGGATGTGAAACCATTGGAGAGTGTCCAGAGAAGGGCTCCAAAGATGGTGAAGGGCCTAGAGGGAAAGATGTACGAGGAGCAGCTGAGGTCACTTGGCCTGTTCCTCCTGGAAAAGAGGAGGCTGAAGGGAGACCTCATTGTCGTCTACAGCTTCCTCACGAGGGGGAGTGGAGGGGCAGGCACCAATCTATTCTCTTTAGTGATCAGTGATAGGACCTGTAGGAATGGTGTCAAGCTGTGACAGCGGAGATTTAGGCTAGACATCAGAAAGAGGTTTTTCAGTGAATGGGTGGTCGTGCACTGGAACAGGCTCCCTAGCGAAGTAGTCACTACACCAAACCTGTTGGAGTTTAAGAAGTGTTTGGACTGTGCTTTTAGTCATATGGTCTTAATTTTTGGGTAGACCTGTGTGGTCAGGAGTTGGACTTGATGATTTTTGTGGGTCCCTTCCAATTCGGGATATTCTACGATTCTACAAAATCTTGTTAGAAGGACATCTGTGTAGTCAATTATCTGCTCGGATATCTTTGAAATGCTAAAGGTAAGAACAGTACTGTTCACGCCTATATTTTCAAAGCTTCTAATTATAAAGCATGGACAAAAAGCAATGCAATTAAATGTAGGGAACATTGACGGCATTAACAAACTGGCTAGGTGGGCGCTAGGACAATGTGATGCAGAAGGCAATGTCTCAAATGCCTGAGGATGAAAAATGGGACAAAGTCACTTCCATGAGATGTATCTGCTTTTCTCAGCAGTGCATAAGCCACAACAAACCCACAATGAAAGGAAGGGTTGTAATGCTGAACAAGAGAGAAGAAACGTGTTTAAGAGCCCAGTCTAACGGGTTTCAGTCATGCACGGGAGATGGATTTGGGACTCTTATCCTGTTGCCACACTGTTTTTCCCAGCTGTAGACTTTTGCTGGCACAAAAGGGATTTGCTGCCACTTTGTCTGGGAATCTGGGGGAGCACCTGGTGTATTTGTCAACGTGCTTGTGGACTGGCCCAGTCCTGCATCTTCCCCAGCAGTTCCTCAGGTCTGCTGCTTGAGGTTAGCCCTGTCCCAGGTCCTGGCTCTGGGCTGTATCTGCACAGTGTGGGAAGGGCTGAGGGTCACCCTGTGTGGGCTGGGTGTTGGAATGGGGGAGATAATCTGAAACATGACCTGTTCTGCACAAGTAAGGTAAATACAGTGATACTGAGACACATGCAAAGACGAGAGCTGCTTGTTTTCCTTCAGAAGCTTCCTGCAGGATGCAGGAGAGGTCAATTTGTGGTGCAGAGGCTTAGCCAGGCTGTCCAGTCCCTTCAGGGAGTGTTGAACTGGGGACAGGAGGTGGTAAATGGCACAGTGAAGGGACAGGTGGGCTCAGAAGCTGGAGAACCCTCTGGGAGCACATTTGTACCCCAAATTCAGCTTCAGGTGAGGACTGGCACTAAGCAAAGCATTGCTCAGGCCAGTTTGCAGCTAATTTGATGTGACTTGATGCCACCAGTCTCCTTGCTGGCTCTTAGCAGCTTTTCTGTCTTTCTGGAAGAACCTTTTTGGTGGTGGCTCTGTCAGGGGCATCTACTTGGGAACACCACCTTCCCCAAATGAAAGCCAGGTGGGAGATGTAAGGCAAGGTGTGATGGTCAACTTCTTGGTGGCACCTGCGGCAGCAAATGTTTTGGGCAAAGTAACAGTCAATGAGCTAGAGCAGAGTGTCCCCAAAAGGCACCCTAGGCTCCGTAAAGAAAATAGCTATGAAATTTGCTTCAGTTTTTGCAGTTCATATATTACATTTCCAAAGCCACTCTGGTGGCTGAGGGGCAGCTGTCGCTTCAGAAGTGCTGTGCTTGCTCTTGCAGAAATCTGGGTTTTATTCTTTTGCCTCATAGTTGTTTTTCTTCAACTGCAATGAAAGCTGCTGAGGCTCTGAAGATGACTGGTCTATGTAAAAACTAGGAAAAAAACATGAGATTTTCTTCAAATTTGTTGCAAAAAGTATAATTCAATGAACCTGGGACAAAATATCAAACCTAGAGCACTACAGACTGAGGATAAGGTAATTTCCTTCAAAAAGGGGTGATGCTGCCTGGCTGGGGCTGGTGTCTGAACAGCACACGTTCCCCTTGTCATCCCTTGGGTAGGCTATCCATCTGTCCTCTTCTCTTGGCTATGTCCCTCTGCAGTGCAGTGACTCAGTTTCCTCAACCTGCTGGGAAATGTTGCCATTAGACAGAACTGAAAAAGACTCCACAAGTGTTTGATGGGGTTTGTGAGTTTGAATGCTCACTACAGGATAGATGCATTCTTCACTAGCAAGACTGTCATGCTGTAAAGCCCTTCTTGAGGGGAGAGGAATTTAATCCTGATAGTTATTCTCACAAAGCAAAAAAAAAATGCAGATTTTCAACTGACTAAAATCAAAAAGTGTTTGAATTGTCTCAATGTATACAAAGCCAAGTATGCTTCCTGTGGGAAATGAGCACCAAGCTGTGTCTGTGAAGAATAAATGAGAGTTTTTATTCTCTGCAATATTGCAGGAGCTTGCATAGGAGGAGGGGGAATTCCCCTTGGGGACAGAATGAGCGAAGTAACAAAAAGCACTTGCAGAGTTGTTTGGATTCCTGCATGCCAAAATCCTTCTGTAAAGCTGAGCAATTTGACCTTGATCACAAAACACTCTTCCTGCAAACCCACAGCAGCTATATTTAAGCCAAAGCATCATTAGCATCCACCACATCTCCAAAGGAAGGGACAGCTTGCTGAGGGGCAATAAATCACCTGAGCATTTTGGTCACCTCAAAGCTCTGAGTAGCTTTTCCCTTTTTTCCTCCTCACTGGCTGCTGCTCAGCTGGGGGAGGTTCATCTTAGTTAGGCTGAGCTGTAAAATCTAATGAGAGTCCTCTAAGCATGTACAATGGTGATCATGCACAAATACAGGCATCCAAATATGTCTATGTATATACTTTTGTATGTACTTAGGTGTATATGTATATATGCATACATATCTTGCTATTTTATATATATATATATATGTATATAAGCCCCAACTTGGAAAAATGATAAACAGATTTAAGTTTCTTTGTCTTTGTTACCACACAATCTATCTTCATCCCTAATAGCAGCAAGTGGGGAAGGAATATCTGTACCACCACAGGAGAGAAAAAATGCGTTTGTCTAATCAAGCAAGTCTTTTGTCCCTTTGCAAAAATGTGCTTTGCATACCAGGTATAAGATTATTTACCATCA